CGCCGCGGGCCGAGAGGCGGCGTGTAATTAAGGCAGCAGCACCTGAGGCCACAGAGAGCCCAGCTCAGCAACGGCATGACCGAAGCCCTCAGGAATGTGGAGCACTGTTAAAAACAGAGGAGGCCTCAGGCGGCAGAAATAGACAGGTATTTTTAAAAGGCCGAGTCAGGGAGACGGAGACGACTTCCAGCAGAGACACAGATCATCCTGACAGATCTCACAACAAACCCGAACCTTTCACTTCACATTCAGACGCACCGCAGCGACAGGAGGCAGCTGGGAGCGTTCTCCTGCACTCACAGTCGGCGCATACTTCCTGTCATATCAGGAAAAATGCTCTTCAGGGTTAAACAGTCCCTTCATGTCTCCACCAAACTGCATAGAAAATTAGACTAATTTAAACTTTTTCATCTAGCTTGAAAATATGCCGACATGAAGCACGCAGACTGAAGGAGGCTGAAGAAACGCAGCGATATGACTGATGAGCTCATGAGCTCAGCTACAGTTTATTTACTTCCTCCTGTTTAAACAGGGAGGATGAATATTCCCGGGGGAGCAGGAGATGCGGCTGAAAGAGGTCAAAATAGACCCTGAGCATGTCTGAGAATCATGAACACCAACAACTGAGTCCAGTGCTGGTGGTGCGTTCAGAGGCGGCTGGGATACCGAGCTGCCAACTCAAACCATGAGCGAGCAAATGGCACAGACGTGATGGAGAGCCAGCACGAGCTCCACCTGCTTTCAGTCAGGTCAGAAAATAGCTGCGACCCCCCCAAACACACACACACACACACACACACACACACTACTACATCTCTGATTCCAGCGCCATCTTAAAAAATAGAACTCAAGTAAATACAAGTAGAATGTCATCTCTGACCCTGTTTGACGTCATACTACCAGAAAACAGTCACCTCTCCTGTTGAAGAAAGTCTCACCAGACTCCATAGAAAAATCCACAGATTTAAATGCTCCCTGAGCAGCTGTTCAGCGCGCTGCACTTAGACCAGAAGCGCCAAGTTTATGGTGTAATTCTATTAAACAGAGGGTGCTTTGATGTGTTGACTGAGGCCGAATAAAAGAGAGGGACCCGCAGATGTGTGTTTGCGTCGTTTCGTGCGGCAGTTTTAACAGAAAAGAAAGAAACCCGAAATTTACATTTTTAGGGGGGTTCGGCTCAGCGGAGAGGAACGTGCAGGGGGTCAGACTGAGTAGAAAGTTTGAGTACACGGTGGTCACGTATGCCTCTCTTGTTTCTGACTGTTTGAAGCCATATCAGGTAATCAATCTCCTCCAGAGTTTCGCAACTTCTTTATTTCCCAGCCAGACTCCATAGAAAATTACACTACTTTAACTTTTCCATCCAGTTTGCTTCCACCGCAGATTTTCATCTGCTTTGGAATGTGAGGACGTGCATTCAATTCGTGAAACAAACACTTCTGCAAACACACAGAGCTCACTGAGCTGCCCTCGGACCTAAAGCGCAGAAACTCGCAACATTAAATATGGGATTCCGTGTAAGACGGTGCGGTTTGAGTGTTTTGGCTGTAAGCCGAATGAAAGACTGACTCATCCAGATGCGTAAACATTTGTGTC